TTTGTATTTTGAGCAAAACACATCATAGACATGTTTTTATATAATTGCATATATCTGAGACCCATAATATATGCCTCAAAGTAGCATGACAGGTGCACTTTAAATACAAAATCAGGTGTTAATATTCACTGTTAAACCTACAGAAAGGCTGTTGTTTTGTTAAAGGTAAAAGATAAACTAAATGATTCATCCTTTGAGTCAGACTTGCAGATCCTATATCTCTGCATTACAGATCAGTTATCCAGATTCTCACTTGAGTTTGAAGACGTGTTTCTTCTTCTTGTAGTCGAGCGCCACCTCGCAGGCGGCCTCCTTCAGAGTGACGGGGATCTCGCTGTGGTACGGGATGCCCTGAGCCGCGCTCTTCTGGTCCTTATAGAAGCCCATCTCCTGCTGGTTTATCACACAGTACACGTTGTGCCACGACCTGCAGACAAACACACATTATATTAATACAGAAACGTATAGCCAGCTTTCAATTAGTGCACAGAAAGTAGGGAGGGAGGGGCAAACAAAACTACAAGACCTAGGAATTGACAATAGGCGCTTTCACACCGGAGTACTTTTCCCGTTTAGATAGTTCCTGGGATTTTGCGTTCACACCAAAAAGAGAACTTAGTTCATGAGAACTTTTCCCCCATTTTTAGTGCCTGCTAGAGAGCAGGTACTTTCCTGGGGAGAAAAAAGTTCCAATTTCGATTGGCTGGGCGAATTGCAAACCACGCCCGGGTAAAACTCGGAAAAGTTTTGTGAAGCCGCCATTGTATTTGTGGCATTAGCATTATTAGCATTAGCCCCGCTAAAAATAAATATTTGTATTTTACAGAAAATAAACAAAATCTTTATTCATAGATTTTAACAGGGACGGTGCACATTATTCAACAATTCGGTAAATATGCCAGAGTTAGCCAAGAAGCAATTTTTCATCTGTAGTCCCTGGACAGATTTTGTAAGTCAAATATGAACAAACTAAGTCAAATGTTTGTTAATCCTTTTTTAAAAAGAGGCAAATATTGCACTCTTAGTGATAATTCCTGCAATATACTTGAAGTTACATCTATTGCCGTTTTGAATGTTTATTTTCTCAAGTGCATTGTATGTTGCATCGCTGTTCCTATTGTGCATATGACAATAAAACCCTTTAATCTTCAGGATTTGAGGCGATCCTACCTGCTTGAAGCCTTCTTGTTGTGTCCCTCCCACTCGTGTTTGCGGTGCAGGAATGCTTCCAGTTGGGAGGGGGGGGCGTCCAGCTGGGTCTTCGCCGGCAGCGTTGCCGCCTGGCTGATCTTGCCCTTGCGAGCGCCCCCTGGAGACCCCGTAGGGCTGGGCTCCGACACTCCATTCACCACCTCTCCACCTTCAGCGGTCCCATCCTGGAAACAGAACATAAGAGCCAATCAGAGGAGGACTAAGCAGGAATGGATGTCAGTAACATACGCTATTATATATATATATATTTTTTATCTTTCTCTCTCGGACACAGAAGCTGTAAATCAGGATTATCAGAGCTGCAGCATGCAGAGCGGAGCAGATCAAAAGCTGGGTAGGGACTTCTCTAAACTGAGCTAAAACCTGAGTGAAGATGCATTCCTGTCCGGTGTTTGTCTGCTACTTTTATGACTTATAATAATAATTGAGTCAACACATTCCTCCTGAATCTGCCAATTCTAAAGTAATCCTGCATGAATCAACTCATCTCTACAGTATTTTTTCATAGATGTCAAGAAAATGCTGTCTTCAGCCTCTCAAAAATATGTATTATTGAAATGTGATGTCGTGCTTTTCTCCATGTTAGAACATAAGTAAATAAATTGGGTTTTTGCACCGATACCTTGGACTTCGAGAAACTGTGATTATCATTGTTCCCTATTTATTGTCCTTTTTTGGACCAAACTATTTACAATTATTAAGAAAATAATCTGTGATATTGTAATTCATGGTTAGTTACAGCTCTAATAGTGTTTGGATTAAACGAGAGTACGTCAAAATCACGTTCAAAGTCTTTCTGGATTATCTAGAGTTAAACCTGAAGTTACGAAACCAGTGCAAGCTAATCTTAGACATTTAACTCAACTAAATTACTCGTCAGCCTCTTAATTATTAAAGCATTTTAAGCGTTTATTTTCCAGCATGTAATAAAGTGATTTCAGCGCTGGACTCCAGTTCTGATTAGGAAACACCTGCATTGAACATTAGGAGCACAGAGAGGTAACACACACATGCACTGATCACAGACTTTAGGACATGCACAGTAAATCACAACACCACTTATATCACACACACACACACACACACACACACACACACACACACACACACACACACACACACACACACACACACACACACACACACATGGTGGACAGTGTGAAGAAAGTCGAGTAGAGGGAGAAGCTAGCAGATGGTAAACACACAACAAAAACACACAAACAATTATCCACAAAAATTGCTTGGAATTCATTACTTGGCGTCAATATTTGTGAGGGGATAATGCGATTGGCCTAGTATTCAGACAGATTTTATTTGTTTCCACACCACACCCACTCCAACCGGATGCTTATTACCCGTTCACTGGGCTCTTCAGGGCTGGACCCATGGTGGACGCTCTTTATGAGACCAGTTCAGAGGCTGGACCAATCCTGGGAGCTTTAACCGATGGAAGGCAAGAGCTGGACCAATCCTGGGAGCTTTTTGTCAAAAGCTAAGTTTATTGGAGTTCAAATGATCGAGTGGACCCGAAAAAAGATTTTTGTTGTTGCTTGTGAAACTTTATACCACCCTGGAAACTCTTATCGAAAGACGACGAAGAACATTAATTAAGGTGAGTGCGTACAAATGCTAACACCAACTCAGAAATACAAACGAGCATATCTTAACCAAATATTGGAGTCTATGATAAGAGCTAGAATCAAAACATTTATTTTAGAGGATCATCGACACTTATTTTAAGTGAAGTAATGCTACTGAAGATCCTGGGAGCTTTTATCAAGAGCTCGGTGAAAAAGCTACGTTTATTGGAGTTCAAATTATCCCGAGAACATTTACTTGATTGGACAAATTAGGAGGCGCTTTCCCTTACAGCTAATCAAAGAGTGGGAGATTTTAGTTTTTGCTTGTGAAACGTTATACCATCATGGTCCTCTTATTGAAGGACATACAAGCAAGCTTTCTTGAATGCGAATTAAGGCGAGTACGTACAAATGTTATCACTAACGCAGAAATACAAATGAGCATATATTAACCAAATATTGGAGTCTATGATAAGAGCTAGAATCAAAACATTTAATGGCGCATTTCCACTGCAGGGCCTCACACGGCTTAGTACGGTATATATTTAGGCCTTGGTAGGCCAGGCTCACTTTATGCTGCGTTTCCATTATAGTTTAGTAGCTGGGGCGGTAACTATAGTAACGCAGTGTAGGCGGAGCCATGACGTCATCTTCAATGCGAACCACAAAACCAACATCAGCTGTTAGCTGTTAGCCCTCAGAGCTCACAGCTCCTCATATCTGATCAGAAACTAGACAAAAGTTAAACAAGTACAAACCACAGACTGTCTGTGTCATGGCGAATACAGTCGCTGGTTTATTTATGTCTGTAGGCCGTTCTTGTGAGTCTGTACGGTCGGAGCATGTACTGCGTTAGCTTAGCCAAGCTCCATTCAGAAAACACACATTTTAAAATGTTTTTCGCCTGCCGTCTGTCTGCAGACTTGTCAAAGCATTAATTCATGGTTTTTACTAACCGGTATCAGTATGTTGTTACTTCTGCATCATTTTGAAATGTGTATTACAATTAAATCACGGTCAAATATGTTCATTGTGTTGTAGTTGTAGCCCCCTTGCCAGCAATTCTCTCACTAGTTTAGCATATTCAGCCCGGTTGTTGGCCCGAAAAGAACCTGGATTATATGTGGCCAGAAAAACTGTGAAAAAGTACCCGCTAGCCGGAACTACGCCTAGTGGAAACGCAA